GAGACTACCTGTTTCTTTACAGCATCTAGCGTAGCACCACATACGTATGTGGCACTCAGTAAAGGTTGTTTTTTTTTTTCCAAGTAATTAGTCCTAGGTTGCCTCTTACTGTCTCAGTTTCATCAGCAAAATTGAAGTAGCTGTCCTGCATCTCACAGGATGCTAATAAGAGTAAAGTAAGATAAAAGCTCTATAAACAATTCCAAAAAGAAAACAATGGAATGCAAAAGAGTGAAATGCAAAGCTCAATAGAGGACACGTAACTTGAAGCTGTATGAAACTTTCCTTGTTATACAAAACATAGCTAGGATCCAAAAATGAGGATGGAACCCCATATACTAAATCAGCAGAACTAGCCCCTCAATAACCACAATTACCTCAATCCATATAAACAGGAGAATAGGAAGGAGGAAAATGGGAATTATTAGAGTCATGACTTTTGGCTTGGGAGGCACTGCTATGGCTTGCTCCTGCCCCTCCCCAAAAAGCCAAGATCTTTAAAGTCTGAGACAGACTCTAAGGGAGTCTCTGGCAAAGTTTGGGGATGTCTGAAAAAAGGAAAATCAGCACCTAATTTTCTAGTTATACATTAGATTAGGACATAGGCTGCTCAATCTTCTCAAAGTCTATGTGAACAGGAAAAAAAAAAAAAACTTGAGGATGGCAGGGCACACAGAGAGCCCTGTGGTGCAGCTCAGCTATTACTTCTGCTTTGATGGGAGCATATATGTTTCTGGTAGGCAAAGTGAGCACCACAAAAAAATAGCCACACTTATGCCATCATGCTGACACCAACACAAAAAGCTAACTCCTGGGTGAAATAACCAGCGACAAGAGCCCATGGAGTTTACCAGTAAATGCAAGGGCCTTGGAGGGTTAGATGAGGTGAAGCAGGACACTATGGATTGGGAAGGCTTTGAAATAACTCACATGTGTGTCTCCTGTATAAATCCAGTATTTGAGTACCTGCCATCGAGAGGGCATTGTCAATGGACAGTCATTATTGGCCCAGCAATTGGTGTCAAAGAAGACTTCACTAGTGGCCCAAGGAATCTCTCTGATTCCTCCTATGTCCGCTCACTGGAGAAGCTAGAATATCCAAGAGGGAAGAAGAAGCTGAGAACCAAAGGCAAAATATGTTGTCCCCAATGTAGGTAATGGGAAATAAATAAAAAGAAGACCATATCCTCCTTCCCTATGTTAGGTCCCTCAAGCCACAATGCTAGAAGTTAGCTGCAAAGAGAACATCTTTAATTTACATAGGAAATTTGATTTTTAGACCGTGCTTGTTTTGTTTTGCTTTGGTTTTTGGCAGGGTCTCACTCTGTTGCCCAGGTTGCAGGGCAGTGGCATGATCTCAGCTGACTGCAACCTCCCCCACCCCACCCCTGGGTTCAAGTGATCCACCCACCTCAGGCTCCTGAAAAGCTGGGACTACAGGCTGTGTGACACCATACCTGGCTAACTATTTTTGTATTTTTAGTAGAGATGGGGGTCTCACCATGTTGCCCAGGCTGGTCTGGAACTTCTAAGCAATCCACCCGCCTTAGACTCCCAAAGTGCTGGGATTACAGGTATGAGCCACTTCACCTGGCTAACAAAGCGGGTTTTTAATCACTGAAATGGACTGGGAAATTATAGAATTTTCCCAAGATGTGATAATGTGATAAGACATCTGCTACAGGAGGCAAGGAGAATTTAAAATGGCCTTGTTAGTGGCAGTATTTGGAGAAAACTATAAACATTTCTAATTTATACTTCTACAACTTCAGCTTGATAACCTACAGAGAGAGAGAGAAAGAGAGAGAGAGATGACTATTACCTCAAATTCATGTTCCCCTTGATTTAAACATTTTTAACTAACATAAGTATTTGGTACTAAATGCTGGGGTTACAAGACGGGACAATACTGAGACAAACCATTCCTTCCTATGATGGAGATAAACACAATTGTAAGAAGAAGTTGGGAAGATTACCAACATATATTGAAAATGTGAACACTTATCACCATGGTAACAAATTATTTTGGTCAAAAATACTTTTCGATGTTTCCAGACCCTACACAGCTAGCTTGATGTGTAATTAAGCATTATCATTGCTGCCTTGAAGGATCACTATGAGGTACATTTCACTGTCTCAAACAAGTTTCTCTGAAAAGTGTGTGTGTGTATGTGTGTGTGTCTTAGGGCTAAAACAGTTTTTTGTTTTGTTTTGTTTGAGACGGAGTTTCGCTCTGTCACCCAGGCTGGAGTGCAATGGTGCAATCTCGGCTCACTGCAAACTCTGCCTCCCAGGTTCAAGGGATTCTCCTGCCTCACCTCCTGAGTAGCTGGGACTACAGATGCATGCCACCACGCCCGGCTAATTTTTTGTATTTTTAGTAGAGAAGGGGTTTCACCGTGTTAGCCAGAATGGTCTCCATCTCCTGACTTCGTGATCTGCCCGCCTCAGCCTCCCACAGTGCTGGGATTACAGGCGTGAGTCACCGTGCCCGGCAAAACAGTTTTTAAAAAGTACATTCTTTTTCTTCATTGAAACACTTATTTAACCTTTCAACAGTGCATTTTTCCTACTAACAAAACTTGGTTTTGATGTATTATTCTGATCATTTAATCGCTTTACTAGTGTTTCAAAATTAATGATCTCAACTAGAATAGTATTCCAATTATTCTCAGGATCTTTGGATAAATCTTAAAAAGAAAGCCTAGGAAAAAGCAGTGTTAGTTGAGGTGATGCAAAATAGGTTTAGTGACTCTCTGCTTTTTTAATAAACAGGGTGAATATACCTGAGACTGAATTGTGTGCCCCTCCCCTTGCCATTCACATGTTAAAGCCTAATCTCCAATGTGACTATATTTGGAGAAGGACATTTAGGAGGTAATTAAGGTTAATGAGGTTATAAGAATGGGGCCCTAATCTGGTAGAATGAATGTTCTTATAAGAAGAGACACTAAAAGCTTGTTCACTCACTCGCTGTCTGCACAAGCATACATCATGGAAAGGCCACCAGCAAGTCGGGAAGAAAACTCTCACCAGAAATCAAACCCTGCTGGACATAGACCTTGGGCTTGGAGCCTCCAGAACTGTGAGAATATTGATGTCTGTTCTTTAAACTATGCAGTCTGTGGTATTATTTTATAGCAGCCCTAGCTGACCAATGACCAATATAATCTGTAAAGAATAAGATTACTTTAAAAAAAATCCATTTAGCCCTTGGACACACACATGTGCGTGCACACACACACAGACACACACACACACACACACACACACAAGCCCTTCACAGAGAAATCTGTTTGAGACCATAGAATCAGTTGATACATACAAAAGGAACTTTAGGATGAGAAACTTCCCTTTCCGATGGTTTCAGAAACCAACTGGGTAAGAAACTAACTATTATCTAAAGGAAATTGGTATTTCCAGCACTTCCTCCAGTGGGATACAGAATCACATTCTCATTTATTTTATGCTTTTGATTCCATCTTGTCTAACTGTATGGCCTTTAAGTCAACCATCCCAGTTTATGTAACCAGTCTCCTATTTTTCAATGTTTCAGAATTTTTATAATACTTTACTATTCATTCATTTGGCAAATGTTTACTGAGCACCTTCTAGGTGCCTGGCACTATTTTAAGGGATACAAAATTCCTGACATCACAACACAGATAAGCAAAATTCAATTTAACAAGGATGTATATCAGATGGAGATAAATATTATGGAAGGAACTAGGAAAGGTGGGTGGAGGGAGCACATTGCTTTTTACATGGAGGGCATAGGATCAGCTACACTGACACTGAAGCAGAAATGTGGATGGTGAACAGCAAAGCCCTGAAGAGGAAACATGATTGGTTCATGTAGGAACAGCAATGAAGTCTGTGTAGCCCAATGAAAGGGTGCAAGGAGAGAAGGGGTAGAAAGTAGAGATGAGACCAGAGAAGTTTGGCATGGACTGCAATGGGGTAGATCACATGGGGCCAGTTGGGTTTTTCCTCTGAGATGAGAAAACTATAGAGCTCTTAAAGGCTTTTGAAGAGTGACCTTATTTGACATAAGTTTTTAAAGGATTATGATGACTACTATGTGAAAATTGGATTGTAGGTAACAAAGGAGTGGAGGTCGAAAGAGGGATCAGATTCTGGATATATTGTGAAGCTAGATCTAACATGATTTGCTCATTGATGTGATGCAGAATATGAAAGACAGAAATCTTTGAATCTTTGAATACTTTTCTGATTATTTATTCCTGATAATTTTTTTTGAATTGGAAGCCTAGATCAAAGACTACACACATTTAAAAGTCTTTCAGATATATATTGTCAACTTGTCCTCTGAAACCTGAAGAAACATTTTTATCCATTTTTTTTGAGACAGTGTCTGAGACTGTCTAGAATATTTCTCAGCAGCACAGGAAAATAACATGGTATTATCATGTTAAATATTGACAGTTTAATAGGGAAATATGTTTTTTTGTATCTTAGTTTTACTCTTAATGATTCTGAATAATATTTTTATTGCTCAATGGTATTGGCCATTTTTTTTTCCACTAGGGAGTTTGTCTTTTTATCATTTAATCTTTTTAATTACAATTCTTATTTAAAATTTTACTTATTTATAAAATCCATTCTCTTTTCCTCCTGGAAACCCAGATAAACTACATTTCTCAGCCATTCTTGCACTTAGGGGTAGTCATATGTCCAAATTCTGGCTAGTGGAACATCAGTGGAAGTGATGCAGACTACTTGTAGACCATGTAGGCCATGAAAACCTCCTTTGTATGATCCTCCACACTCTTTTCTACTCAAAGGAAGGAAATAAAGGTGGAAGTCTTTGATGCGTTTTTGTTTTTCCTTTCCCAGTGCCTTCCATTCTCAATTCTACTCACCACTAATTACCTGATTTCAGTATAATCAAAATGCTGAAGGAAATAAAGTACCTTTATGACATGTCTTAAGCCTTCCAAACCTTGATAGCATAAACCAAAAAGCATCCGAGACAGGACTCAATCAACTTAGAATTTTATTTTGTCAAGCTTAAGGATGTGCCCGGAAGAAAGAAACATAAATCCACAGGAACAATCTATGGTTCATACCTTTTAAGAAAGATGACTTTCAGGGCTTCAGTATTTAAAGGTGGAGAGCAGACTGAAGGGGAAAGAGAGAGTATATGGTCAAATTACTGACTCCACATGTTGCAAGAGAAAAGGAGCAGGTTGGGGAATAGTCAATCAGGTATTCCTCTCACGCTCAATAAATTGGCACTTTACATAAGGTGAACACAGAGTACCTACCTATGGAAATACCTGACCTTTTGTCTGTAGCTATTAGCTTAGGAACAAAAGCAAGCAGTTTCTTGCATGACTCAGTGTTCAGCTTACTTTTTTCCTTTTGGCATAGTGAATTGGGGTCCTGAGATTTTCTTTTTTTTTCCACAATAGGAGAATCATAATGACAAATTTATAAATATAATATATAATTTTTCTTACCCTTTGTGAAATTCTTCATTTAAATTCCTAAAATTTTACAAGATTAAAATACATTTAGTAATAATCAATTTTTTAAATACAAAGATTCTAGAAAAGCTTAAGGTACATTATTAGCTATGGTAATTCATTCTGCTTGAAGAAGTTTAAGTAGTGACTTTTTTCAGCACCGAACTGAGATCTTCAGGACCATCCTTCCCTCCTTTCCTCTCCCTCTCTTCCTTCCTTCTTTTTCTCTTGTTCATTCTTTCATTCTTCCTCTTTTTTTTGAGGGGTTGGAGTAGAAGAATAGGCATATACAATTGTGAGGTCTGGAATCTACTTCATATAAGGACAAGGAGCAACTCTGGATAAAGAGAGAGTAAAATACATGCTTTATTTGCCTGCAACTTGTGGGAAAGAGCATCAGAAGGCAGGAGAGGAACTTGGAAGGGGAAGTGATAGAACACTGACGAAAAATCCTACCTCTTCTGTAGTTTTTTCACTAGGGTGGATACTCGTGTACTGACAAGCAAGTATCATCTTTAGCAGACTCCACCTGAGTTAATGATCTGCTTTTATTTGTCACTGATTCTACTTTCCACAGGGTATCAGGATGAGAAACCTTCAAATCATGCATCACATTGAATCTCTTGGTGGCACAGGTAGCATGGAGGTGGCCCACAGCATCTGTGGTACAGGTAGGAGATTGCTAACCCTTGTTCAAGAAGACATTGATAGGCAAATAGCCAGGACTATGCTTTTCTCTTGGAAGTGCCTACTCCACTTACTCTGAAAGGTTGACTCCTCACGATTCATTCAGATCTCTGCCTACATGTCAACTTCTCAAGTAGATCATTCCTGAACAGATTCCTACCCCCATCCCATATACTTTATTATTCTGTTACAGTACTCTATTAGTTTCCTACATAGTACTTAACATAATTTGTGCTTGTCTACTTTTTTGTTTACTTACATATTGACTAATACATTTGTTTGTTACAATGTCTTTATAAGAGGAACGTCTTTTTAGCTCTCCAACATTTGCCTAGTGTTTATCACAGTACCTGGAGCATAGCAGTTCTTCAATAAATATCAGTGGAAAGAAGGAGTTATTTAAAATTTAAATTTAAAAAATCCAAACATGAGGCTGTAATTCTTACTGTGACTCTCAAAGATCCTGATTACTTGGTTTGGATTTTGATGGAGATGCAGAAAGAGAAGCAACATGTATTTCTGCCTCCAGATTAAATGTTGTAGAAGAAAGAAAACATTTATTACACCTAGCGTGCATATTTGATAACTCTTAATATTAAAATAGTTCCTGCTATCTCTTATATTTGTAATACTCCTGTTTATCTGTTGCAAGTGTATATTAGTACTTACGGTATTTCAAGAAATATGTAGCACAGGAGATCCAATGAGATGCAAAACAAACCTGCCTCCTTCCTAAAACTGAAAAGATGTTAGTAAACACTGACTTGGAGTTTTTTCATAATGGCATCTTAAGTTGTATTTTTTTATACACACTTTTTTGGCATACTTAGATACAAAGAGTATTCTTCAATTCCATAAAGAATTATGCTTTCTCCTCTTTTTCTTGAAATCTGTGTCTTTTTGGCTTGTGTTTTCTTACCTTTGGTAGAAACATGGATGTCAAAACAGTTTACCTGTAATTTCACTGTAAAAAAGTAACAACTGTGCAAATGCATGTAAGCAGCAACTGACATTTGGCCTCAGTGACAAGGTGACAACAGAGAACGCAGAACTTGGGAACCTGCAGAAAACATGCACCAAATAAAGGGCACATACCCTGCTACTCTGTAATTTCAGTGTTTGTCAGGGTTCACGTTTTCAAGAGAGCTAGAAGTCTAGATTTCTTTTAACATGAAATGATCTGATTTTTAAAATGTTTGGGGGCTAAACTAAAAACCAACAAAGCATATGTGGCAACACTGTAGTAACAGGTCAACAAATAAGATGTTAAACCAGATTTAGCCCTCAAGATGACTGTTTCCTCCATCCTATGTGGTACTTTTCATTTTCAGCAGAGAGAAACTTTGATCACTAACACTTGGGAATATTTAAGGGTAATAACGACTGTTTTGCCAGTTCCTTTCATAGACCATAACAGGTACTTAATATTAGTTGAGTGGACCCACTGAATGCGTAAGTCATTCACACGTTGTTACTGTGGTTCAAGAATTAGAACAATTTAGTGTATATGAAGACAGAAAATTGAAAAATAAAAATTATTTACATATTTTGTAACCATAACAGTTAACAACTTCAAGCACTTTCTCTATGCTAGGTATCATGCAAACACTTTATAAGGATCACCCCACCAATTCTTTATAATGATTCTATGTAGTAAGAGTATAGCTGTCCTTTAACTTATCTAGAGCTGGTAAGCTGCAGAGTTAGTAAGAAAAAGAGATATAAAATAATTCTGACACCAAGGCCCATCTTTTAATTGTTATTATTTTATGTAAATTTGTATTGAGGAATAAAAATCCCACAATAAAGACCTAAGAAACAGGCAGTGTTTTGTTTTGAAAGATGACCATGGTTTTCACAGAAAATGGAAAATGAGAAATTTTGAAAACCATGGGACCTATAGAGAAACTGTAGCTTCAGAAAGAAAATGCAAGGACCCAGAATAAGATGAAGGACTTGCCCTAAGGAAAATCAATGAAAAGCTGAACGCTCAGAATCAGGAAAAATGCTGTGTAGGATAGTTATTTCCAATCCTGGCTACATATTAGAGTCATTTTAGAGAGTTTTTAAAAAAGCATCTATGTGCTTGGTCCCAGCAGCAGACTTTTTTTGAGGGGAGAAAGACCAGGACATCAGTATTAGAAATAAGACTAACCAATACAAACTCTTCAGATGATTCTTAAGTGCAATCAGATTAAAATTTCTGCTTTAAATTACCCAGTAACATACAAACTAAACTAAGGGCTCTACAAAGTTGTCTCAAATTCTCTGAAGAGTGGCCAGGATTCCATGCTACTCACTCCCTTCAATCTCACCGGTTCATTTTTATCTGTTTCATATACCAGACTTCTGCATAAGATTTCACTTGAAAAAACAGTTCTGAATTAAAAATAATTCAAAACAGGTTTTTAATTTTCCCATTTCTCAAGGTTTATAATAGGTAATTGACATAAAGGGGCAAATACAGAGACTTCCACAAAACATGTTGACCTCAGGAACACATTGCGGTAGCTTTGGTCAGAGACCAGGTAGATACTTATGATGTTGATGGCACTGGAAACTAGAATGCTGCTTCAGTGCCACCCATGTTCTCCATAAATGTCCTAATCAGTAGTGGCTCTGAGAAAACAGAAAAGAGAATATGAAAAATGTATTATTTATCTTTCCAGTCTTTGAAACTTCTTTCAACTCTGTGAGGTTGCAGTGCATACTGAGTACCAATTTGCCATTAAATTCTTTCACACATAGGATTCTTTCCTGACGCCACATAAATTTTTAGAGAAAAGTAAAAGAAAAAAATATATAATGAAAGAAGAAGAAAAATAACTTAGCAAAAAGAATTTGGAAATGGGAAAATAGAAAACAAAACTGAGATTTTAAAATATTGCAACTGAAAATATTTGAAGAAAGTGTAATACAATATAAATTAAGAGACAGGCTAGAAAATTGAAAGGCCAAAAGAGAAAGTTCTATAAAATAGTTTCTTTCATTTACTGGTATCCAATTAGTGCAGAGGTTGCCATTGGGTAAAACATCATCACAAAGACAAGATTTGTCTTCTAATTACCATCAGCTGGTTTCATGTTACAGTTGAAAAATATTCAGGATAAATTATAGGACAATACTTCCATAATTGTATAATTTTTTTTTTTTTTTTTTTTTTTTGAGACAGAGTCTCACTCTGTCACCCAGGCTGGAGTGCAGTAGCGCAATCTTGGCTCACTGCAACCCCCACCTCCCGGGCTCATGCCATTCTCCTGCCTCAGTCTCCTGAGCAGCTGGGACTACAGGCGCCCACCACCACGCCCGGCTAATTTTTTTGTATTTTTAGTAGAGACGAGGTTTCACCGTGTTCGCCAGGATGGTCTCGATCTCCTGACCTCGTGATCCGCCCGCCTCGGCCTCCCAAAGTTCTGGGATTACAGGCGTTAGCCACCGCACCCGGCCCATAATTGTATAATTTTAAGGCTAAAAGTGACTTTAAGTGTTCTTTTATCTGCCTTTATTATCACTAACTAGTCATCCAGTTCATGCTTGATTAAAATGTTTATTAAATGGCTTCTATGGGCTAAGCACAATACTATGTAATGAGGACCCAAAGGCAAACGAGACAGATCTAGTTATTCTATGTTTCATTATATTCAAGTTCATGATACAGATAGAAGGCAAGTAAAAGTATTAAAGGGGGGAATAAATAGGGTGCTTCCAATAGAGAATGAATGCTTAAGAATTATGAATAATTCTAGACAGGGTGGTCAAGGGGTGATGGTGGATAAATATTTCCAGTGGTGAGAAAGCCCTATTTCCAAAAGCACCCCATTCCTTGGGGAAAACAAAGTATAGAAGTTCAAGGCCCTGAAGTCCAGAAAAGCTGAAATAGACTAAATCAAGTGTGGTGTGCGATGAGACTGGAATGGGTCTTGAGAAGTATATTAAGAAGTATACATTTTATTGAGAACCTACTTAAGTTGAAACTCCTAAGTTGACTTGAATTTTATAAAGTTCTTATTGTGTTATAAAGAATAAACTGGAGAGAAGCATGTTTCCATAATACAGGTGAGAAATGATTCAGGCTTGGACTTAAGAGTGGTGCTAGTGGAACTAAAGGTAAGTGGATTGATTTGGAACATATTTAGAAACTAAGACTTAATTATTTGTTGATATTAAAGGGTAAGGGAAGAAAAGCAGTCAAGAATTACATCAAGGTTTCCAACATGAGCAAGTAAAAGGACAGTAGTGCCACTTACTGGCTAATTGGTTGTTGTAGTTTATTACATGTTAATTATATCTCAGTAAAACTGTTTTTAGAAAGCCAAAAGGAGATTCTGTCAGACAGTAATAAGAGCCGTGATAGTGATAGAGCAGGCAAAGTGATTGACAGTTCCTTGCAATAGGTGATATGAATGTGGGGGATACCATTATGTACGTTGTTGTTAGGTGAGGCATCTCTGATGAAGTGAAATATAAATTTTGATCTTAATAACAAAAAGTCACTTTTACAAAATTTCAGAACTGTTTTTCCCAAATCAAGGAAGCACCTAGTGAAAAACTTTGGTGACAGGAGGAAATCTGATTTTTGTAAACACACACACACAAAATATGGCTAAAGCTCTAGAACTCAGAGTAAATGGGATCAGAGATGAATCCAGAATACACGGGGCTGTCTAGGGAGTAGAGTGATGCCATGTACCAAGATTTCAAAAATAATCCTGGAAACACATAAATTTTATTTTAAAAGAACAAGACTAAACAAACCAAAAACCCAGAGAACCAACTTGTGTGAGCCAATTCCCATAATAAATCACCTCTTACGTATCTATTTATATTCTTTTAGTTCTGTTTATCTGGAGAATCTTAATACACCCTAGAACTTGAGAGAAAGGTCCAGTCGGCACATAGATGTGGTAATTAGAAGACATGGGATGAATCTGGCAGAAAGTATGTAGAGTGAAAATGAGCCTGGGCCAGAGCCCTAGGGGACTTAGCAAATTTCAGAAAGAGATAGAAGAGTCAATAAGGAGCGTCCAGAACCAAGGAGATAAAAAGGAAGAGGGTGTATCATAGAAGCCAAGGAAGGAGACAGGCAACACCCAATTTAACAAGGCCATCTCAGATGGTGTTGACTGCTATGGAGAGAAATCAAGCAGGTTAAACAGGAAACTAAGACAGCTGGGTGGGAAGAGCACATTGGGTTTTTGTAGAAGTGTGGACAGAAGGGAGACTCAATCATGCAAATATTGCAGTAATAGTGTCACATATTGCTGAGAAGTTAAGCCAGATAAGGGCTAAAAAGTGACAGCTATTTTGTGTGATGGGAAAATATGCAGCAGTTAAAAATGTTTTTGAAAAATAATTGACTTGGAAAAATGTCTTATAATTGCAAGCGAATGCAGCAGAATTTACATGTATTATTCTAAATTTGAATAGTAATTTAATTGACCAGGAAATACACTGTTTTCAGAGTCTCTCTATATGGTGGGATCATAGGTGAAATGATCCAGCTCTTTGTCCCCACCCAAATCTCATCTTAATTGTAATTCAAATTCTAATCCCCACATGTTGGGGGAAGAACTCTGTGGTAGGTGATTACACCATGGGGGTAGTTCCCCCATGCTGTTCTCATGATAGTGAGTGAGTTCTCATGAGATCTGATGGTTTTATAAGGGGCTTTTCCCCTCTTTGCTTTGCACTCTCTCTCCTGTCACCTTGTGAAGGATATGTTTACTTCCCCTTCTGCCATAATTGTAAGTTTCCTGAGGCCTTACCAGCCATGCAGACCTGTGTCAATTAAACCTCTTTTCCTTATAAATTACCCAGTCTTGGGTATTTCTTTATAGCAGCGTGAGAATGTACTAACACAACAGGTAACATTTATCATCATCTATATACTTTTCAAAATTTCTGAGGAAATGTTTAATGTATAAAAGTAAAATAGTTTTTTCTTTTAATATAATGTTAAAAAAACATAAAGAAGTAAATATCCAAAAAGCTGCCACACAGATATAAATACTATTGATGTTTTGGCAACATCCAAGTATTTTTTTCTACACATATTCTTGATAGCATTCACTGAGCATTCACAATGTATAATGCACTGTGCTGAGAAGTCTGGTAGATGTGTAAGATTTTGTAATCTAATACTATGCTGCTATTGACCTGAGATACTGCATTTCTAACAAGTTTCCAGGTAATGCTGATGCTGTTTTTCTGAAGGCTATACTTTTCAATAAAATTTTTGTACATCAAAATATTGTTATATGGAGGTCTGTGAAGGGGAAAACAGTGCAGTGAGGGGACAGAAAAAAGGAGACTTGGGATTTCCTTTCCTTGAGAATCAATTGTTGTCAGATGCTTAGAATGCCTTACGTTACATTAAAGCTCAACTGGGAGAAATAAGTAGTTAACGGTGGCCTCATAATATACTGGGGGTAAATCCACTATGAAGGCAGACTACTTCCTCATTTGAAAGGTAGCAAAATTGAAAAAGTTTAGTTCCTGAGTCCTTCCCATATGCATATTCCATTCTTCACTTAGTGTTTTCATTCCTGTTTCTTGCCTTTTCTACATCCATCCCATAGCATGTAAAGTATAATTATCTTCATTGTTTTATTTCCTAAATCATCAGTATTTGTTATAATTTCCTCTTTGACCCAAAGGTTATTTAAGAACATTAACAAAATTCCAAGTATGTGATTTTTCAGGGGTGAAAATTATTATTTTCTAGGGTTTTTTTTTTTTTTTTTTTTTTTTTTTTGGTAATGTGGTCATGAGTGCTTTCTAGAAATATATTGAAGTTTTCTCTATATCCGAGTATAAAATCATTTAGAAGTGCTTCAGGATAATTTGAAGAGAATGTAAAAATAAGGTAGAAAAGTAATATATATATATTACACACACATTTAACTACCTTTTCTCTCTTAACTTCCCATTTACTTGGTTTATCAAAGGCTGTAACTGTGCTGGGCTGGTGGCTCACATTTGTAGTCTCACTGCTTTGGGAGGTCGAGGCAGGAGAATTACTTCAGCCTAGGAGTTGTAGGCTGCAGTGAGCTATGATGTTGCCACTGCATTCCAGCCTAGGCTACTAAGCAAGACCCTGTTGTCTCTAAAAAAATAAATCATAAATGTTGAAGTCATAGTCCAACATATTTTTTGCTATATTCTCTTTAATAATATATACAGAAGGATTACTCAACAAATTTTAAATACATAAAACGCACTAATTTAAATGTACGTTTTAAAATAGATATCAATGTACATAAAACTATCACCCACATGAAGATACAGAACATATATTTTATATATTGTCATATTTACCATATAGTTTAAATGTTACATCCTATATTGTATGTTTTACATAAAATGTCTTGTTATGTTTAGATTCTGTTTAATAAAAATGTTGCTATTTCTATGATTTATAGTTTTCATTATCTTTAAACTCTTTGATCCTTTGTTTTATACAAATGTATCTCAGGTTACAGATTGATTTTTGACCCAATTTCAATTGTAATAGTGCTATTTAACCAGTTTATAAGTCATCTGTACTATCAATCTACTTTTTGCTAATTTTAATGTCTTTTTGCTATTTCTCTTTTGCCGTTTTTTTTTAACCACTTCTTTTCCAAACCAAACATTGGAACATATATATTCTATTTTTGTAGTTAACACTTATTTCCATGTCAAATTTACTTAGATAAACTATATGATGCAGTAACTGCTGTTTTTCCCCATGCAACACGTACAGAAAATGAGGATGTATCCACCCACTTCCAAACCAGTGATTTGGAAGTTTCTTTACAATATCAGTAGTAACATTATGGACAAACTTGCTATTTTTTTCCTGCTATACTTAAAAGTAACGGAAATAAAACTGTACTGTTTTCCAATTTTGTCAGATTTGACATTTAGAATGCTGTTATTTGTCCAATCTACAGTGACAAAGCCCTTTTACTTAGGTTTAGCTTAAGAACATGCATATTTGTATCCACAATACATGCTAAAAATAAAACACTATTTGTTCAATATATTGAACATGTGGCATGCCTTTCCAGCTTAAATGTAAACCGAAATTTTAGACCTAGCTTACGTTTCTATTTTTGTATTTAGTTTTAATGCCCTATACATAACAATTTAAACTCTATGCTCCTTAACTAGTTCTAATGCATAGCATTAATTCTTTCATACAATTGCCTCCCTATTCTTTTATTTTAATTCAGGTTCTCTGTTAGCTGCAGTAAATCATTGAGCAAAATGTTCAGGGAAGGTTCTTGATTGATATACTTTCCTAACCCCTGTATATCTAAGAATGTCTTCCACTTTCCTTTGTAAAGAAATGATAACTTGGCAGAGTATATAATTCTTGGCTCAAAATTATTTTCCCTTAAAACTCTGTAGATATTGTTCCACTGTCTTCTGGCTTTTAGAATTGGAGGAGAAAATTCTGAGGTCAGTCTGACTTTTGCCCCTTTGTAAATAACCTGCTTTCTCTCTGTGGATGCTTGTAAAATGTTTTGTCTTTGAAATTCAAAAACGTCACCAGGATATGTCTAGGTGTTTTTCTTTTCATTAAATTTTAAAGGTACCCTGTGAGCCTTTTCCATTTGTAGATCCAGTTCGTTCTTCAATTCTGGAAAATTTTCTTCAATTAGATCCTTAATTATTGTTTCAGTTCTACTTGCTCTGTCCTCAGTTTCAGGTATTCCTATTATGCATATACTGTATCTCCTGGACCGGCCCTCTAGATCTCTCTTTTTCTCCTCTTAATTTTTTTTCCCCTTTTCTCTGTATTCTGTGACAATTTGTGGTTTTGCACTTACTTCAGTAATTCGATTTTGTGGCCAATCCAGCGTGCGCCCTTCTGTTAACTCTCCCAACTTCCTGGTATTTTCCAAGCGCTCTGACATTACCCTCTTTATTATCGCGAACAGGTTTTTAAGCTCCTGTATTATATGATTCTCAATCCTTCTTATATCTTCTGTTTCCATCTCTATATCCCTTCCAAGAGGAGGCATTTTCTCCATTACTTAGCGCTGTTCCTTTCTTCTGAGGGGCAGTATTACGACCTTGGAAACAATAAACATAATTTAATTCCACACAGCCCCAAACAGCCCAAAAATTCTCATTGATAATTATCGACGACTTTATTAAAACGCTTTTTCTTTCTTACCTTTTCAGTTGCTTTTCTTAGAAGCAGGGACCAAAATCAAAGATTAAAGAAGGTCCTCCGAAGCACGGAATAAAACAGACGTTGAAAACTATTCCCCTTACGTCATCTCTGCGCGCCTCACGTCAGGGCTAAGAGCCTAGCGCTTAGCTTTATGGCAGACGGGGCTCTAGCGTTCTAGTCAATTCCGAGGCTGCAACCTCCGCTTCTCCGCTCGCCGTCTGGTTCCTTCCCTGCCGCCCCGCCCATCACGGCAGGGTCACGGTAGTGCGCACGCGTAGCACCCCATTCAAGTTTCCCCTCTTTGCAGTGGCTTGGTTTAGATCCGGTGCCGCCTTGAAGGCGGGGCAGGGTCCCAGCCGTAGCCAATGGAGCCCCGGGTGAGGGTTGAGGGGTGGAAAGTGCCTGCTAGCCGGTGGTACAGGTTTCTTCCAGCGCTTGTGCTGGGCTACCTGGTCCTCATGGAGGCGGTCTTGACCGAAGAACTTGATGAGGAAGAGCAGCTGGTGAGAAGGCATCGCAAAGAGAAGAAGGAGTTGCAAGGTGAGGCGGAAGGAAGCGGGAATCTGGAAGCCGCCGCTACTGGAGGAAGGGCGCGTGGCGGGTCGGTTCTGGGGAATCTTAAGGCGTGACTTGACTTGGATCACCCTAGACTTCCCCTAGTAGCAAGTGGCCTCTTCTCTCCCGCCTTCCCTGCCCCGGAGGCCCTTTAATTCCCCAACCTTCAGAGGCTTCCCCTTCTGAGGCCTGCCGCGTGCCCCCTACCCCGCGCCGCCTCGTGGGTGCTGGTGTCTGAAAATACCTCGAAGTCGCGGTCTTGGACCCAGACTGGTCCCCTCCCAAACCCACGATGCCTCCCTTTTCTATACCTGCCCCAGTTACCGATACTTGTCCCTAATGGGTGTATTTTGAATGGACTCACCTCAGTTTAGGAGGTTCAGAAAGGATAGCTGAAAGATTTAAAACTTGCTACAGTCAGGTTTTTTTCCTTCTCCTATCTCACCAAGCAACCGAAACATATTCAAGATTTTGTTAATGAAGTTTTTTGGGGTTTTTTTTGGTCTCAGCTTCATCTGGGCCCTTCTGTCTCTGTAGCTGTCTGTTATGTGATGACTCTTTCTTCTATAATTACTTTTTCTGTACCTTTCTCCCCTTACTATCCCCTTACTGGTTCCTGTTTCTCATCTTCTTTTACTCCTGCGTGTCTGACTTAATGATTTTAATGGCTTTTCAGCCAAAATTCAGGGCATGAAGAATGCTGTTCCCAAGAATGACAAGAAGAGGAGGAAGCAACTCACCGAAGATGTGGCCAAGTTGGAAAAAGAAATGGAACAGAAGCATAGAGAGGAACTGGAGCAATTGAAGCTGACTACTAAGGAGAATAAGGTATGTGAAATAAACGTTTGTTGTTGCCTACACCATTTGAAAACAGCTGTCCACTTCTCTTAAACTGCTTATTACCTAAAATCATAAAATGGGTAGGGAAATGAAATCACTTAGTTATGCTCATGCATCACATCTCATTAATGTTTTTGTGACCAAGTTCACAGGGCAGTGTGTTTTTACAAGGGAGATCAGCAAAGAAAGTGCTATACTTCTTTACCTATACTTCTTTACCTATTTACTTGCCCAAAAGATGAAGCTTCACCAAATGAAAGTTGGAAGACCAGGCATCTGATCCCAGAATTGCGACTAAATGGGATTGTAACCTGAGCAAGGTTACTTAATCTTTCTGAGCTCCAATTTTCCCACATATATAATACGATACAAATATTTCTGCTGTCTAAGCACAGGTTTTTGTAAGAATCAAGAAAGTGAATGTGAAATCATTTTTAAATTATAAAACTGCTTTATGAACAAGTTGTAATGAATGAAATTTTACTGACGTTGCTTGTAAGTTGGAGCATCCTTTCATAATTTTAGCTAGTATTTATTTTATTGTTGGAGCTAATATATATGTGCCAAACACTTTGTTTTATATGTATTATCTAATTTAACCTCAGTAACACACTGTGAGTTGTTACCTATGAAGTAAGTGTACATAATCCCATTTTTCAAGTGGGAAACAGGGTTAGAGAGATTAAGAACTTTGTCCAGAAGTCGTAACAGCCATTAATTGCCAAAGCCAGAATTCCAAATGAGAACTATCTTACTCCAGAAAGGGAATACTGAATTCTGTTATAGCTTTGTATAGTGTGGTATTTATTGTATGGGTTTTGGATGTGAAAGGTCATATAGACTCCACAGCCTCCATCTTTGGTAGAAAGTTCTTATGTCTATGCAAAATCTTACCTGCCGTACTTAAATTTTGGTTGATTTTTGGTTTGCTGTTGACAAGTACAGCTTGTCTGTGCTATTTACAATGGTCCTTACATTAAATATAGTCTAAATTTCTTTAACTTTGTTTGTCATTATTTCCCAACTTTCCTTGCTTTTAATATACTTCATCTCCAGGTAACAAGGCTTGATACTCCAGGTGTTAAATTGTGATGTGACAATTGTGGTGTTCCTAATTGTCTCCCCATGTTTTCTGTTAGCGGGATAGTTTTGTTTGCTCCCTCAGACCTTTCAATTTTGAGGTTTCTTTCCCAGGTTTCCAAGGACAAAAGTGTTTGATTCATAAGCTACATGGGGTCCTACTGTTAAAACACAAACTCCTATTCTACTTTGAACTATTTATCTTTTTCATTAATTTAAATTGGTTTTCTTTTCTGAATACTACCAAAACTAATACCATTGCTTTTTTATTTTTCAGATGCATCTCTTTTATCTTGCCTATTGTCAATATAGTTGTTTGTAAATTTTAGCAGATTCCTCTGAAGAATCACAAGACTTCTAATTTCACTATAGTTGATAGCCACTCTTTGAAGTCTCTATCTGATTTCGGTATTTTGATCATTTGGGACATAGCCTTTGGAGACTTCTGTCTCTGTGTATTAAAGGCCTTGAGTTGTTCTATGTATGTGTTATACCAAAAACTGGCTTAACTTATAGTTGCAGTAATACTAGCTACTCATCCTTATGGTTAAAAGTGTAGCATCTTTTTTTTTTTTTTTTTTTTTTACTCTAGCAAACACACATTAGCCATTTAGGATTGATTATAATATCAAATGATATTGTAAATTAAATATATTTTCTGCCTGCAGTTATCAGTTTGTAGATGGAAAAGGGTAGGGTAGGAAAAGCTCAACTTCCTACTAGGGTCAAGGATTAGTACTCATCAGGTTTTGGCTAATTAAGATGGAAGAAGGCTTCTCTTGCCAGTTGAGTTATGCAGGTGATAAAAAACTGAGCCAGCAAATGACCTGTATCTTACACATACTGTCAGTAGTCAGAGAAAAGAAGAGTGGAGTGCCAAATGAATTGGCACTTACAGGAAGTACACTACTGCATTTAGATTAATGGAGTAAGCATTCTAAGAAAGAAGGAAAGCATGCAGGGATGAGCATGATCTTTGAAGGAAACTTCTTGAGAACTTGTCAAATTCTTCCATAAAAATAGAGACAGGAGACAAAACCATATTATCTAGTACAGTGTCTATTGCCGTTATTCAAATTTGAAGTGTGGGATTAGATATATTTATGATTTTCAATAATTTAATTTAAAAAGTATTTTATATTGACTTGTTAATGCTTTTTGTTTCCTTCAGATAGATTCTGTTGCTGTTAACATTTCAAACTTGGTGCTTGAGAATCAGCCACCTCGGATATCAAAAGCACAAAAGAGACGGGTATGAAAGTCATGTCACCAAGTATATAAGTTAGTGCTGTGTGTTCAATACTATCTTAGGTCTTGTTATAGGAAGAGAATGAAAAAAAAATGATGCAGTTCCTTGTCAAGGGACTTGAACTAACATTTATTAAGCACCTGCTGTGTGTTACATACTATGCTAAGCTGCTTATATGACATCTCATTTAGTCCTGACAATAATCCTGTGAAGTAGGATTTCTTATCCCCATTTTATGGAGAAGAAAATGGTCCTAAGAGAATATAAAATAACATATTCAGGTTGCAGCTGTTATAGGAGAGTGAAGCTGGGAGTGGGAGTGCAAAGTAGTTTTTTTTACAAATATATTATCCCAGACTTAAAAATTCAGAATGTGGGCCCAGGGGATTCTGATGCGCAACCTTGGCTAAGAACTATACCATTGGGTGAGAAATAAGGATTTGAACCTAGAAGTTAACGTGTAGATACATGTTCTTAGATAATTATGTAGGTATCTATATAATGGTTATAAACTTCTTAGATAATTATGTAGGTATCTATATAATGGTTAATTATGAAAATTTAGAGAAGGGAAAGTTCATTATGCTAATAATGGGTTGGAATTTGAAAGAAATATTATTTAGATAAGATATTCCAAATAGGAGAAACAGCATGCACAAAAACAAATGTGGGGATGATATACTGCATTATTGAAGAGCTATAAGGAAACTGATTTATTGGAAGTAGCTAGTTTATATCAGCATTATAGAAATAAGATTAGATAGGTAAGTCCTTTGAATTTGAAAAAGAAAAATGATTAAATTCAGTCTTTTTAGTTACGAGTATTATTTTATTAACAGTTGATGTTTTCTATGGTTTAAATGCATATTTTTAAACTCGTTTTGCATCTTATGACATAGTATGTAATTTAGTAGAGCATGGAGTTTAGTGTCAAACAGATGAGGTTTTAATTTCATTTACTGTTATACTTTGGGTACGGTACTTCTTTAAGCTTCAGTTTCACATCTATGAAACAGGGGCAAATTATAGCTACTTCATAAGCTAATTCATTGTGAATATTAAATACTGTACTATTTCCAAAGCCTTTAACACAAGGCCTGGAGAACTAATGGGTCAACAAATGATAGTATTGTTTCTATGTTAAGTAGCCCATAGTATGCCTCTTAAAAATAAAACCTAAAAGCAATGTCTTTTTCTATATTAAGTAGTGCATAGTATGCCTTTTAAAAAATTAAACCTAAAAGCAATGTCTTTTTTTGTTTGAAAGTTGATGAAATGCACAGAGTCAAACATTTCTCATTCTTGTATAGAATTTTATTCTTGAGTAAATATAATTGTGAATTTTGTAGATTCATTAAATTTAGATCTCATGGAATCTTGGAGATTGTCTGCTTATGATATGCATTGTTTTGTGATGATCTCACAATTGTCGTCTAGCTTCTATAGATCAAAAAGGAAAGGCAGAATTTTTGCATGCCGGTAGCATAACAAAATACTGGAATTACATCTACTTAGTAATTGAAGCATCTTA